TTTTGATTTCTAGATGGCGGGAAATGACCTTTCTCGACTTTTGAGCTAGGTTTCTAATGACTTTGTTCTTCAAAATTCAAGGTTTCCCCCTCTTGAAAACGGTCAGGTAAACTTTCTCATTCTTATTACAATAAATAGGCCTGTTATGTGTGTATACATACATAAAAAAAAAATTAGTTGTTGCATACGTATTCTTTTTTCAATTAATCGATAAGCTACAAAGAAAAGGAGCGGGGGTTCCGGAAAAATTTTGAATCCTAGATGGCATGAAATGAGTTTTTCAGACTTCTGAGGTGTCCAAATTACTTTTAAGTTCTTCAAATGTCAGGGTTTTCCCCTCTTGAAAACAGTCAGGTAATTTTTCCCATTGTTATTACAGGAAATAGGCCTTATGTGTGTATACATAGGCCTACATAAAAATAAAAAATTAGTAGTTGCATACGTATTCTTTTTTTAATTAATCGATAAGCTCCAAAGAAAAGGGGGGTCCGGGGGTCCTCCCCTGGGAAAACTTGAAATGAAGTTTACCCGACTTCTGAGGTGTCTTTTAATTACTTTTAAGTTCTTCAAAATTCAAGGTTTTCCCCTCTTGAAAACAGTCAGGTAAATTTATCCCTGTTATTACAGTAGAGGCCTTATGTGTGTATACATACATAAAAAATTGAGTAGTTGCATACGATTTTTTTTTCTATTAATCCATAAATCCCAAAAAGAAAGGGGGTGAGGGGGTTCTCCCCCGTCAATATTTTGATTCCTAGAAGGCGGAAAATGAGTTTTCCCAACTTCTGAGGTGTCTTTTAAGTTCTTCAAAATTCAAGGTTTTCCCCTCTTGAAAACAGTCAGGTAAATTTATCCCTGTTACAGTAGATAGGCCTTATATGTGTATACATACATAAAAAAATTGAGTAGTTGCATACGATTTTTTCCATTAATCCATAACTCCCAAAAAGAAAGGGGCGTCCGGGGTTCTCCCCCGTGAATATTTTGATTCCTAAAAGGCGGGAAATGAGTTTTCCCGACTTCTGAGGTGTCTTTTAAGTTCTTTAAAATTCAAGGTTTTCTCCTCTTGAAAACAGTCAGGTAAATTTATCGCATTGTTATTAGAGTAGATAGGCCTTATGTGTGTATACATACATAAAAAAAAAAATGAGTAGTTGCATACGATTTTTTCCATGAAAAAAGAAATGGGGGTTCGGGGGTTCCCTCCCAGGAAAATTTTCCCTCTTGACAGGCCTTATGTGTGTATACATACATTAAAAAAATTTGCCTACGATTTGCATACGATTTTTTTTTCCATGAAACCATAAATCCCAAAAAGAAAGGGGGGGGGGGTCCGGGGGTTCTCCACAGGGAAAATTTTGATTCCTAGAGGGTGGGAAATGAGCTTTCCTGACTTCTGAGGTGTCTTTGTAACTACTTTTAAATTCTTCAAAATTCAAGGTTTTCCCCTCTTGAAAATTATTCAATAGAACCAATGAACCCCAAAGCAAAAAGGGGTCCGGGTTCCCCCGGGAAAATTTTAATTCGTAGATAGCGGGAATGAGATTTCCCGACATTTGAAGTGTGTTTTAATGACTTTTGTGTTCTTCAAAATTCTAATTTTCTGATTGTAACACAAAAAAAAAAAAAATAAAAAATAACCTCACGGGTCCTGAAAAGGTAGGTCTAGAATTTTTTTTCCGGCCACACAAAAATCTCCAGACATTATTTTTTGCAAAAAAGTGGGGGGCCGGCCCCTGTCTCTGGCCCCCCCCCCCGCTGGCCATGTTAAAACCCACCCTCGAGCATGAAGAAAAAATCGCCTGCATTCGTGAATTCTGTATTTAGGCATATGGGGGGAGGTAGACACTCTTAATGGAGCGAC